AGCTGAGATCGCACCGTGCACCCCAGCCTGGGTAACAGAGCAAGACTGTCTAAAAAAAAAAAAAGAGAGAGAAAAAAAATTAGTGCATCTGAGACACATTATTGGAGACAGTACAATCACTGCATCAACAGGCTTGGTGCAGATCTGAACCCACTGAGCTATTGTCATGTTTCCGTGTTCATCAGTATCATGAGCAGAAATTGAGCTCTTTGGCTTTTACCCACTGTGCGGCTATAGGACAGGACTCTGTCTCACACACACACATTATTGCATCATTATTTTTGCCATCAGTGTGGGTTTTTGGTTTTAAAATTATAAATCCTCATCAAGAACAATCTCTATTGGGTGCAATGCTCTATCCCTATTAACACAACACTTAATCTAGTCCTGAAGTCTTTTTATTATCTATTATTATCTAAAGAATAATAGAGTATTTCCCTGATCCTTAAGACTGCAGCAATGATAAGTTGTTTAGATCATCACTCCAATGTTTGGTTAAAATATTATGGGTCAATAGTTGTCAATATCTGCAAGTGGCATCTCTATTACAAAGTGATCTTACTCAATGTCCCCCTTCCACAACTTTGTTCCAAAGGAGCTCTTGGCTTGAACAAATTTACTATATCTAAAGACATCTTAGTACAGGAAGAAAACTAAATCTGTGGCATATGTAAGGAGCAGTTTTCTTTGTTAATTCAATATTCAGGTTTCTAACCAGCTGAAAAATTCAAATACATGTCCTTTAAGGAATAAGTTTAAAGCACACTACAGAAAGGAGAGAAAAGATTTACATGATCACATACAAGCAATGGAATCAGCACTTTTCACAACTATACAAATCAAATTGAATAATCTCCAGAACATTAAGGAAGTTCAGTCCTTAATGAAAATGAAAGAAAAGAAATTATTCACCCACTGTTACATGCCCTAGAAAGAGAATGTCCTGCCTGACTCAAAGGAGTATCACAATATTACTCCAGTTTCAGCAATGAAGGCCCTCCAAGGATCTAATGATGTTCATGTTTTCAGTTTATTTCCTTCACTGATAAAGCGTTGTTAATAGATACTTTCAGCCCCCACCTCTCTTTCCACGCCATGTCTTCCCACCTCCTCATCATTCCACTCCATTAAGTAGAAAAATTTCTACTTGTCTAAAATATTTTCTCATAAGATGGACGTAGCTTAGGTGGTGTTGGACAGTTGGGTGTAAGTATTTAGGAGTCTTTCCTTTGGTATCTTAGGGCAATAGTAATCCCTTTATATAAAATTAAAATAGAAAAATGGAAATGAGTATGGTGGCTCATATCTGCAATCCCAGCACTTTAGGAGGCTGCCGGAGGAGGATCAGTTGAGGTTAGGAGTTGGAGACCAGCCTGGGCAACAGAGTGAAACCCTGTCTCTACAAATTTTTAAAAGTATTAGCCAAATTTTAAAGTTGGCAGGGGCATGATGATGCTTGACTCCTAAGCTCAGCTACTGGAGAGACAGAGGCAGGCTGCAGGGAACTATGCTTGTGCCACTGTCCTCCAGCCTGGGTGACAAGTGAGACTCCCGGCTCAAGCCGGGCATGGCGCTCGTGCCTTGTAATCCCGGCACGGGGAGGCTGGGGTGGGTGGATCACATGGTCGGGAGTTCTGGAGAAACCCAACATTGGGCGACTTCCCTCAAACTTTTCACTAGGCATGACCACTGTGCTATCTTAGAGAGTCTGTGGGGCAAAACCTGAGAACTATCTGCCAGGCTATCAAGAAGATAGCTCCTTCCATTTTTGAGGTGAACACCTTTGCTTCAAGTGTTTCCTCTAGGATTACAAATCTTTCTGTAACTTCAGGAAACATTTGCTGATGAAAACCAGGCATGGTGGCTCCTGGCCAGTAGTCCCAGTGACTCAGGAGCTGAGGCAAGAGGATCACTTAAGTTCAGGAGTTCGAGGCTGCAGTGAACTATGATGGTGCCACTGCTCTCAGCCTGGGCCACAGAGCCGATCACTGTCTCTGAAGAAAAGAAAAGAAATACATTGCTGATGAAACTGCAGCCTCTTTTGCAGCTGAATCAAAAGCTATTCACTGCCTAGATTGTACTAGACAATCACATGACTTTAGATGATATATTTAGCTGAGCAGGGAGATGTATGTGTGGTGGCAAATACCTTTTGTTGCATATATATAAATATTCCCCATGCAGTAGAACCTTCTCTAGAAAAAGTCCGTTCAGTTGGTTGTAGGGCCTAGGGCTTATTTTTCTCAATCCTGACAAGGTAAGGCTGGATTAATGAAGATTCTCTGCAGGTGTAAATTCCCCTACAAAGACAGTTTTGCAGAGTTACTTCTGTTTGCTGGCTCTCTGACAGCCATCTTAAAATATACCAAAGAAATGCATTCTAGGATGAAATGTTTGATTTCTTCAATCTATCTACAGCTACACCATGCTGACAGCCCTCAGTCAAAGGCGTGCCTGTGGCCCTTTCTTTTTAAAAAGCTTTCCCACCCTCCTGACTGCCTTCAAGTCTCTGCCAAAACACAAGTCACAGTAACTGACTCTCTGCCACTTGGCTTCGGAATAAATAGCCTTTGCTTTTTTCTATTTGGTCGGTCTTTGTTTATTTGCAGAAGCTTGGGTGTAGAGTTGACAAAGGACTCCATCTTTCACCACAACAGTAATTTCTTCTGACCACTTTTTCTCTGTTAGTTTGTAGCCTGCCAAGTCAGTTTTAGAAAGAATACTGTTGAGTCTAGTTTGGCAAGAGTCACTCCCAACCACTTGCGATGACTAATCCAAGTTCCTCTTAGTAATTTTCCATCTACTGACTTTCTTATCTTGCCAATTGGGTATAATCTTCAACTCCTCCTGCTGTATTTGAGGTTGAGCTCAGTTCTCTGCTGGCCTCTCTTGCCTATTGTAGCACATACAATAAAATCTGACTTATGTTTTAACAGTGTCAGTGCAGTCCCTCAAAAACTACCTTTGCAAAATTATGACAATAGGAGAAAGCTGGCGTGGCTCAGCCCCATCTTGGTTCTAGCCTCACAGGCTGCTTCAACTGCTCATTCATGTGCAATTTCTCCCCAAGCTGTCTTTGGGAAAAATTGAGTTTATAGTTTTAAATCAGGGTCCCCATCCCCCAGGGCCACAAGACAGCTACTGGTCCATGGCCTGTTAGGAACCCAGCTAGACAGCAGGAGGTGAGCTGCAGGCCTCCAAGCATTACCACCTGAGCTCCGCCTCTTGTCAGATCTGCATCAGCATTAGATGCTCATCAGAGCTCGGACCCTGTGGGAACTCGCATGTGGGGACCCAGATTGCGCACTCCTTGTAAACTATAATTAATGCCTGATATCACAGGTGGAACAGTTTCATCCGGAAACCATCCACCACCCCTTTCCATGGAAAAATTGTCTTCCGTGAAACCAGTCCTAGTGCCAAAAGCTTGAGGATAGCCCGAAGGTTGGTTTAAAGGATAACCTTCCCCAAAACTAAATTACCCCTCTAAAACTCATGAAAGGCCACCAAGTTAGAAGGATGAAAGAGGCCTGAATTCTACTAAGATGTATGCCTTGTTAAATAATTACCAGTCATTATTCCAGAGAGGTAGCAAGATTTGCAGCTTTAATAACTGCTGTGAAGAACATCACTATTGTAGAATCTAGAATTGGTCTCTTGAGTTGTCTTTTCAGGCTTTTGCATTTCTGACTACTGGATGGCACCATTTGGCCCGAAAATCAACCAGTCCCTTAGCCCCCACCCAGAAGCTGACTCAATGCAGGAGGAGTCCATTTTCCACGTCCTGTGATTTCATCCCGACAATCAGCACCGCCCAAGTCCTTAGCCTCCCACCAAAACCATCTGAAAAACCCATGACCTCCAAGCCTTCAGTGAGATTGATTTGGGTAACAACTCTGTCTCCCACATGTCGTGGCTGGCCTGTGTCAATGAAACTCTTTACTGCAATGCCATAGTCTCCATGAATTGATTTTATGTGTACTTTGGAATTAGGAAAGAGCCCATCAGGTGGTTATATCTGCAGGATGGTGCCAGTTCTTTCCACAAAGGCTGGTCAGATACCAGAGAGTATTTCTCCACTACTGCCTGGACAATGTGTCTCCCTGTCAATCTCAGGGAATGGGGTCTGGATCATTATTTAGTATTCAGCAGTTACTACACTGTCATCTAATCCATCATTTTCAATATTTTTGCCATACCTTCCAGTAGCCTAACTGGCCACCATGCCACAAAATCTTTACTTTATGATCTCAAGAACTCTCCACTCGATGTTTTGTGGTTGAAACATGCATGGATCTGATGCTGGTGGGCTGGAGGGTCCCCGGGAGGACAGGGAGGGTTAGGGATGGATTAAATGAGTAGTGAAAGAAGAATTTTGTGCAAAGCAAAAAATGCACACTCAGAAAAGGAAATTTAGGCACACGGAAAACAATAAATTCTAGGAAATTTCATCTTGATGGAGTTTCTTTAACCAAGGAATGGAATATTCATAGTGCAGGTAAAGGTGGAGATTTCTCGGAACTGTGGCGCCATCCATTTTACATCAAATAATGGTCTCAAGACTGTCATAGCACTGGTAGGTGTGTGATTTAGTATGTTAATGAGCATATAATGACGGTCTAGGTAATACTTCCGTCAATCAGCACCACATTGGGTCCAGTCAGTCTCCAGCCAACAGTCCACACCTGGTTTTCCAGCCTCTTATCAGCCCACAGCCTCAAGTCATGTAAGTCTACTGCCTACAATTTTGTTATCCTGTAGACTATTATGTTATTCCTGTTTGAAATCTACTTGTAAATATTCAAATGATCTTTGACTTTAGCATTCAAATTTACTACTTCTGATGTTTCCCGCGTAATATGTGAAAAAGGCAGTCCAGACATTTGTTAAACATCTCAAAATAGATGTAGCCCAGAGTATTTTATGTCAAATTTGGATTATTTTGGTTTTGTCTTAGCAAGTATAAAAAACTAATGTAAGGTAAGGACTGAGGTCTGGACATGGCTGCCCAAGAGATGACAACGTCCAACACCACGCAGGAGTGTCCAACCATCTCTTCTGGGCAGCATATTTTCTACAACACTGAATTTGGAAAACAAGCAACAAGATTCATGAAACTGGACAACTGTCTTTATAACATTACCAGTGATAAAACCAGTAAGGAAGGCTGGTTTGCAGTCATCGACCTGCCTCTTTGCTTTCATAAATCGGTTTCTGATATTAGCGGCTTCCCGAATTTCAGCGGGCTACTCACAGAATGGATGTGAAGAGAACCGGTTTCACAGCAATCCTAAACGTTCCGCACAGGAGTTTTGCGAATTAAGCCATTATTTGAAGAAGGGTGCCCAGGATCCATCTGGCCGCAGAAAGGTTGCTCCGCAACAGAAGTTAGGGACCTGCTTCTTTGGAAGAGAACACATGCCGGGGCGGGAGGGAGAAAGGACAGAGAGGCAGACGTCAGCGTGTTCCCCTTTCCGGCTCCTGCAGTGGATTGGTCGACTGGCAGGTGACAGAAAGGCAGGCGAAGACTGGGAAAGACACTGTAAGTGACATCACGGGTAGGGCGACTTCTATGTAGATGAGGCAGCGCAGGGGCTGCTGCTTGGCCACCTGCTGCTTCGCCACAAAGGAGTTTCCATGCCGTGGAGCAGGTTGAGATCCCGCTGGTCGGACCTGAAATTCCAACTGTGTGTCAGGGCTAGAAGGGCTGGGGAGTGCGCGTGGCAAGTGACCGTGAGTGTAAAGGGTAGAGGCGTATGAGGCTGTGGCGGGGCGAGTGTAGAAACTCATACTTACCTGGCAGGGAGATACCATGATCACGAAGGTGGTTTTCCCAGGGCAGGCTTATCCGGCTGCACTCGGATGTGCTGACCCCTGCGATTTCCCCAAATGCAGGAAACTCGACTGCATAATTTGTGGTATTGGGGACTGCGTTCGCGCTTTCCCCTGACATTTTCTGTTCCTATAAAAGCAGATTATATAGTAAGGGCTTTTGTTTCTTTCTAATGTAGTTTGTATTTTTGGTTGGTATCTTATGTGATTCTTACAGTGGAAGGCTTGGGATAGGAAGTAACTTGTCATTTCTTTGCCGGAGGCGAAGTAAAAGCATCATCCTTTGTAACTGAAATTAACTAGCGCGAAGGCCACAGCTCTTCTCTTCCCTTTTTACGAGCCTGCCTTTTGCAGAGATTGTTCCAAGGTCTCCAGTCTCTTGGGTTCTCATGCTCTGTGAAAATTTTCCCCCAGTCACCTTTTACACAGCCTCTGCTTGTAACCGCAGCCCTCACAGGAGTTTGTAGGATTTCTGTGCTGGCAGGGAATGTGTTCTCACCTCCTAGAGCCAGCTAGAAACCACGCAGAGGGGCGCGGTTCTTTGGGAAGAAATTAGGGCCTTTGGGGCTCTACTGTCCCCATTGGGTTGTAAACATAACACGCTTACTTTGCGTAGAAAGGCTCTGCCGGCGCGGAGTGCCCTAAGCGCATATTCATCAGGCCGCAGGTCAGAACCGCAGTCTCACCTGTCTTGACCGAAATGCGCTGCGATCCTTCCTGAAGTATAGGCAGGAAGTTTTATGTGGAGCCGGGTCAATCCCTACTGTCTCCTGCCGTTTACCTATCTTGTCTTTCTTCAGAGTTTATTTAAGCGACAGCTTCTTGTTTTAGTCTCGCTTACGCATCCTAGATCCATTGCCAGGCAACTTTCTAAATGCTTGCACTGACCCATCCTTCCTACCTTCAGCAGCCCTTTCCTATTCCTGGTGCTTGTCCTCCCTGTTCTCTTTCTTCAGGCCTAGCTTATCACCTTCATGGACATAAAATACTTAACTCTCACTCAACCTGCGGTTTATACCTGGCTTGAGTCAGTACCCTGCTTAAAATGCCTTAACACCCCTTCTCAAATGGCACTGTAAATTCATCTCTTTTTAACTCCCAGAAGTATCTCATTGGTTTTGTGGTAGTGTGTGTCTGTAATCGCAACTACTCAGGAGGGTGAGGCAGGAGAATCGCTTGAACCCGGGACGCAGAGGTTGCAGTGATCGTGCCACTGCACCCCAGCCTGGGCAACAGAGTGAGAGTCTGTCTTAAAAAAAAAAATTAAAAAAAAAAATTAGTTCATATGGGACATTTTATTGGAGACGGCACAATCCTACATCCAACAGGCACTTGGTGCAGATCTGAACCCTCTGAGCTATTGGCTCAGGTTCCCTATGTTCTATTAAGTATCATGAGCAGAAATTGAGGCTCTTTTACCCACTAAGTATGGCTATGAGAGACATGTCTCTCTCTGTCTCTCATTGTTGCATCATTATTTTTTTGCCATCAGTGTGGGTTTTTGGTTTTGGTTATGAAGTGAATTTGTAGGACAGTCTCTGTTGGGTCATGTTGACAGGATCTAGTCCTGTTTGGTAATACATGACAGCTAATCTGGTCTGGCAGTCTTTTTAAATTGTCTATTTATTGTCCTGAGAATAATGGCATTTCCTGATCCTTGAGACTGCAGCAATGATAAGTTGTTCAGATCTTGTCTTTCCAATATTTGGTAAAAATTTTATGGACCTAATAGTTGTCAATATCTGCAAGAGTGGCATCTCTATTACAAGAGTGATCTTACTACTCAATGTCCCCCCTTCCACCAACCGTTCCATAGGAGCTCTTGGCTTGAACAAATTTACTGTATCTAAAAGACATCTTAGTATAGGAAGAAAACTAAATCTGTAGCATGTAAAGACAGTTTTCTTTGACTGAGTATCATTAGGTTTCTAACCAAGCTGAAAGGAGATTCAGCCTTGTCTTTTAAGGTTAAGTTTAAACCACACTATAGAAAGGAGAGATAAGGTTTATATGATCACATAAAAGCAATGGAATCAGCAATATAAGCACTTTTCACAATCTTACAAATCAAGTTAATAATCTCAGAACATTGAAGTTCAGCCCTTAATGAAAATGAATGAAAAGAAACTATTCACTCATATTTACGCCTGGAAAGAGAATGTCCTGCTGGACTCAAAATGGTATCACAATATTACTCAGATTTTCAGCAATGAAGGCCCTCCAAGGATCTAATGTTGTTCATATTTTTCAGTTTATTTCCTTCACTGATAAACGTTGTTAATAGATACCGTTTGCCTCTTTTCACTGAAGTGATGTTACTTAGCACAATTAGTTTCTTGAGAATGCTCCTAATAGTTTAATTGGTAGGAATTTTTCCTGCTTTATAAATACAGGATATTTTCTCATGAAACAAATTGGCATACTCTTTCAGTGAAGTGAATAGAAAAATTAGGTCTCCAAAATGTTAAAGGAGTCACTGCCCCAATTATTTTATGAACAATAATAATAATAATGACTTAAATAAAATTAAAATAAGAAAATGAAGCCAGGTATGGTGGCTCATATCTGCAATCCCAGCATTTTAGGAGGCTGAGAGGGAGGATTAATTGAGGGTTAGGAGCTAGAGAGACCAGTCTGGGCAACATAGTGAAACCCCTGTCTCTACAATTTTTTTTTTTTTTTTTTTTTTAAGATGGAGTCTCGCTCTGTCCCCCAGGCTGGAGTGCAGTGGCGCCATCTCGGCTCACTACAAGCTCCGCCTCCCGGGTTCACGCCATTCTCCTGCCTCAGCCTCCTGAGTAGCTGGGACTACAGGTGCCCGCCACCACAGCCGGCTAATTTTTGTGTTTTTAGTAGAGATGGGGTTTCACCAGATTAGCCAGGATGGTCTTGATCTCCTGACCTCGTGTTCCGCCCGCCTCGGCCTCCCAAAGTGCTGGGATTACAGGCGTGAGCCACCAGGCCCGGCCCAAATTTTTAAGTATTAGCTAATTTTTTTTTTTTTTTTTTTTTGAGACGGAGTCTTTCTCTGTCACCCAGGCTGGAGTGCAGTGGCCGGATCTCAGCTCACTGCAAGCTCCGCCTCCCGGGGTTTCGCCATTCTCCTGCCTCAGCCTCCCGAGTAGCTGGGACTACAGGCGCCCGCCACCTCGCCCAGCTATTTTTTGTATTTTTAGTAGAGACGGGGTTTCACTGTGATAGCCAGGATGAGTCGCCAATCTCCCCAGCCTCGTGATCCTCATCAACCTCCTCCGTCCTTTCCTTTCCTGCTCTCGCCCACTAAAGTGCCAAGGCTGCAATAGCCATAGATCCCAATCGGACGGCAGGTTTGGGACAGGACAGGACGTGGCGTGCGCAGCATCGCGCGGGTGACGGTGAGACTCCCGCTCCTAAAAAAGGAAAGAAAGAGAAAGAAGAAGGTGGGGTGCTGAGAAATTGTTTTTTTTTTTTTTTTTTTTTGAGGCGGAGTTTCGCTCTGTCGCCCAGGCTGGAGTGCAGTGGCTGGATCTCAGCTCACTGCAAGCTCCGCCTCCCGGGTTAACGCCATTCTCCTGCCTCAGCCTCCCGAGTAGCTGGGACTACAGGCGCCCGCCACCTCGCCTGGCCTAGGTTTTTTGTATTTTTAGTAGAGGCAGGTTTCACCGGGTTAGCCAGGATGGTCTTGATCTCCTGGCCTCGTGATCCGCCCGTCTCGGCCTCCCAAAGTGCTGGGATTACAGGCTTGAGCCACCCCGCCCGGCCTGGGGTGTTTTACTACAATGCTAGGCTGCATGTCTTGCACCTGTACTTCCAGCAACTCAACAGGCTGGAAGGATTGCTTCAGGCCAGCAGTTGAAGACCAACCTGGGCAACAGGGCAGACCTCATCTCTAAAAAAATACAAGGCAAGCTGAGCCAGGGAGGTGTTTGCCTGGGCCGGGAAGTTCCAGGTTGGTCAGCTATAATTGCCCTGCTGCACTCTAGCCTGGATAACAGAGTAAGAACCTGTGCCTTACTTTTTATTTTATGTTTTAATACTTATGCTTATTTATTTATTTTTGAGACAGCGTCTTGCTGTGTAGCCCAGGCTGGAGTGCAGTGGTGCGACCTGAGCTCACTGCAAGCTCCACCTCCCACGGTCAAACTATTTGCCTGCCTCAGCCTCCAGAGTAGCTGGCATTACAGGTGCATGCCACCATGCCCAGCTAATTTTTATATTTTTAGTAGAGATGGGGTTTCACCATGTTAGCCAGGCTGGCCTCAAACTCCAGACCTCAAGTGATGTACCTGTCTTGGTCTCCCAAAGTGTTGGGATTACAGGTGTGAGCCACCTCGCCCAGCCTACTTGGCATGGCAGAATCACGAGAAGTTTCAATATAGGGAAAAATTTTCTTGTTGAATTTCTAACATGAAAAAATGATAGGTGTGTAGATTAAATTAATAATGGTCTTCATAGTTTTGGTACAATAAAACAAATGGAAATGAAGTTGATAGCAGAAGAATTTTTTTGATGCTTTTGAACAATTTAAATAATGTAAATATTTAATATATAAGATGAACAAGTTCATTACGCTATTATTTTATTTCATTTAGCATTTTATTTATTATTTATTTATTTATTGAATTGGAGTCTCATTTATTGAGTTGGAGTCTCACTCTCTCACCTAGGCTGGAATGCAGTGTGCGGTGTTGGCTCACTGCAACCTCTGCCTCCCGAGTTAAAGCGATTCTCCTGCCTCAGCTTCCTGAGTAGCTGGGTTTACAGGTGCACACCACCGCACTCGGCTAATTTTTGTATTTTTAATAGACATGGGGTTTCACCATGTTGGTCAGGCTGGTCTCAACTCCTGACCTCATGATCCTGCCAGTATGGCTTCCCAAAGTGCTGGGTTTACAGGTGCTGAGCCACGCACCCAGCCCATTACTTTATTTTTAAAATCAGTGTGACTCTTTTGACAAATTCGAATGGTTTTAATAATCTTGGTTAGGCTGGGCACGAGGATACATGCCTGTAATCCCAGAACTTTGGGAGCCCGAGGTCAGGAGTTCGAGACCAGCCTGGAAAAGCTATGATGAAACCCTGTCTTTACTAAAAATACAAAAATTAGCCTGGCATGGTGGTGGGCTCCTGTAATCCCAGCTACTCAGAAGGCTGAGGCAGGAGAATCGCTTGAACCTGGAAGGCAGAGGTTGTAGTGAGCCAAGGTCATGCCACTGCACTCCGTCACGGGGTGACCTATCATCTCTCCTCCTCACCATCCATCTCTTCATCTGTCACTCTCTCAAAAGCCCTCACCTGGCCACTACAGCCCCTACTCACCCCGCCCTACCTATGGTGATATCTGCAAACTAACGCTTTCTTATTTCTGCACATAAGCCAAGCTATCTGTGAGGAGGATGTAGCTTGCAGTTTAACTTTAAAGCACATATGATAATAATCCCTTCCCCAGACTTAACTCCTGAGAAGGCAGAGAGGTGGTATACACAAGTAACAGTGTTATGTTGAAGATTTATAAGAGCAGTGTGACCTGACAAAGGACAAGAATTTTCCACCGGCCTCCCTTGGGCTCTCACTGCAGCCTATAAGTCTCTGTCACTGTCAGATCTCTTCACCTCAGCCGCCTCCTTCTTCCTCCCTTCCCTAGCATTACAAGGAACCTGAAAATCATATTAATTTAAGATGGTTTCTTAGGATATTAGTTCACCATCTGTTCAGTTTGGGTGAATATGCCGGATGAGTCATGTGCCGGCCCCTACACCTCATCCTTGACTTGCCCATTGTCATGCGGCAAGTGGTGAGTGCAGTGAGCCGAGATCACACCACTGCACTCCAGTCTGGGTGACATAGTGAGACCCTGTCTAAAAAAAAAAAAAAGACAAATTTGGTTTTAGAACCAGACAAATTAAATGGGAGACTTACTTCCAATGAGACCTAGAAATTTCTAAATTTCTAAAATTTCCTAAAAAAGAACTGAGAAAATTATCTCCATTAGAGGAAGCAAGCTGAAGGAGGTAAACTGACACGTTTTCTGAATTGAGAAATACTGAGGAGACTTTGTCTCTTTCGCCTCAACTTTCCTCCTTATGTGCGTGTGTCATCCTCACGACGCAGGTGAACCGAGTTCCGGTCTCCATTGGAGACCAAATCAGTTGACTTTGGCTTGACTCCTAGTGAAGAAGCCACCTTTGTCCTCCCCTGTTTAGCTCTTGATCCTAAAGCACTTGATTGTCTCTCCCGCGCTTTCGATGCATTTCAGGGATGCAACTGGGAAATTTGTTTTTAATGCACTTACTTGAAGGAAGAATATTTTAAAGTATTTTTGCAAAGAAAAATATTTCCTTTTGCACTGAAGACATTCAGATGTGAGGAAAATCACTAGGCTGGGGAAAGCAAATGCTGTTGAGAATGTCTCACAAACACGAATTACTCGTCAGCAGGTAGGTTTGACCCTCAGGTTGGGCACATTTTAAGTGCACTGTTGGAACTTGAGATGAATCTAGGACATTCATGATTATTATTTTTAGCTTTTTAGTAAAATTTAATATTTTAAATTTAAATACACATTCTGAAAATTGTATAAGCAGCACAAGACACCGGCTTTATGCCATATTTACAAACATAGGAAAGAAAGATGCTATTTTAAACGACAATGCTGCTGCCGGACGCAGTGTCTCACGCCTGTAATCCCAGCACTTTGGGAGGCCAAGTAGGGTGGATCACGAGGTCAGGAGATCGAGACCATCCTGGCTAACACAGTGAAACCCCATCTACTAAAAACATAAAAAAGTAGCCGGGCATAGTGGTGGGCGCCTGTAATCCCAGCTACTTGGGAGGCTGAGGCAGGAGAATGGCATGAACCCAGGAGGTGGAGTTTGCAGTGATCTGAGATCGCGCCACTGCACTTCAGCCTGGGTGATAGAGCCAGACTCCCTCTCAAAAGAAAAAAAGACAAACAAAAACAAAAAAATGACAATGCTTCATAAATGGGAACATTTTTAAAGTACCTAGAGAAAAAAAGTTAACCTCGAATTCTATGCAAAAATAAAATCTCAAAACTGTGAGTGAAATAAGGACTTTGAAAAAAATATAAAAGATAAAGAATTCACCAACCCACCCTACAAGAAATCTTTTTTTTTTTTTTTTTTTTTTTTTTTTTGAGACGGAGTCTCGCTTTGTAGCCCAGGCTGGAGTGCAGTGGCCGGATCTCAGCTCACTGCAAGCTCCGCCTCCTGGGTTCACGCCATTCTCTGGCCTCAGCCTCCAGAGTAGCTGGGACTACAGGCGCCCGCCACCTCGCCCGGCTAGTTTTTTGTATTTTTTAGTATAGACGGGGTTTCACCGTGTTAGCCAGGATGGTCTTGATCTCCTGACCTCGTGATCCGCCCATCTCGGCCTCCCAAAGTGCTGGGATTACAGGCTTGAGCCACCGCGCCCGGCCTACAAGAAATCTTAGGAGTCCTCCAGGCAGAAGCAAAAGGATACCAGATAAAAATGTGAACCTACACAAACAAATGAATATTGGATATGGCATTTAGAAAGCATGGACTACACATTTTCTTATAATTTAAATCTTTTTTTTCTTTCTTTTTTTTTTTTTTTTTTTGAGACAGAGTCTCGCTCTGTCACCCAGGTTCGAGTGCAGTGGCGCGATCTCCACTCACTGCAAGCTCCGCCTCCCGGGTTCATGCCATTCTCCTGCCTCAGCCTCTTGAGTAGCTGGGACTACAGGCACCCGCCACCGCGCCCGGCTAATTTTTTGTATAGTTTTTTAGTAGAGACCGGGTTTCACCGTGTTAGCCAGGATGGTCTCGATCTCCTGACCTCGTGATCCACTAGCCTCGGCCTCCCAAAGTGCTGGGATTATAGGCGTGAGCCACCACCCCCCGCCGCCAATTTAAATCTTTAAAAAAAATATTTGACCTAGGCCGGGCGCGGTGGCTCACGCCTGTAATCCCAGCACTTTGGGAGGCTGAGACGGGCAGATCACGAGGTCAGGAGATCGAGACCATCCTGGCTAACACGGTGAAACCCCGTCTCTATTAAAAATACAAAAAAAAAAAAAAATTAGCTGGGCGTAGTGTCGGGCGCCTGTAGTCCCAGCTACTCGGGAGGCTGAGCCAGGAGAATGGCCTAAAAGTAAAAGTAATAATAATCACAGAGCTTATACTGCATAAAGTAAAAATACATAACACTAGGATAAAGGCCAGAAAGGGAGGTAAAATGACACTTGAAAGCAGACTACGATAAATTAAAGATGTATCCCAGAAACCCTAAAGCAGCCTCTGAAATAAAAAAAGGGTTATACCTAAAAAGCAACAAAGGAGAGAAAACGGAATGAAATAAAAGCTATGTCAATACTATGCTGGAACAACTACTCTCCAGGCCTCTATCCTATAGAAATACACCACTGGCCAATGAGAAGTGTACAAGAACGATGACTGCAGCTTTATTTGTAATCATAAAATAATAGGACGAACGTAATTTTAAAGATACATGAAAAGGGTTTTATTTATTTAACACACAGATAATTGAACAAACAATTGAAGCAAGTCCTTTGTCAAAAGGAACACAGAGGGTCATGATGATGCTACTCCTCCAGGGATTTCAGGGTTCCCAGATGCCTAGTTTTCTGCCTAATTCTTCTGGAAGATGTTATTCTCGGGGAGCAATAGGTCCTCGAGTTTGGGGCTCTTTCAGGTTCTCTCTCCATTTCCCGATTCTGCTACAATAAACAAACAAACAAAAGCAATTCTCACTTCCAGAAGACCCCGCCGGTGCCTCTGCACGAGCCTTTCAGGAGGTCTGGATGTCTGGTCCACCGCTCCCCGGCTTCTTTCCCAGCTTTTGCTTTTCCCTTCCCCTGCTCTCGCCCTGCCGCCCCACGGCCCGACCACTGCCCAGCTGAGCCCCCGCGGTTCCACTGGGAAGAAGATGCGCCGGAGGCCCAGCCAGTTGTCCGCCCTGCGGGGTGCCCAGACATCAACGCTCTGTAAAAAGAACCTCCCCATGGAAAAAATCTCTTGATTTCCACTCTCAGGGTTCTTCAAAGGACTAAAAGCTAAAGGCGACGATGAATTCATTCGACAAGTCCTAGTCGTGCGCCCTGGCGAGTGCCAGACCCTGCTCCCCGCAAGGGGACCCACGAACGACCCTCACCACCACCTCTGCCCTGGTGGAGCCCCCGTGCGGAACACAGGATCCGAAGATGGCAGCAGAAGCTCCTCAGCAGCCCCGAAAGCGACTGGCCAGGGTGGGCACAGGCTCCTTCACTGGGTGAAGGCGGCGCAAAGAACGGGAAGAACCATCCCGGGAGCCCACCGGGCGTTCAGCTTCCCTTGAGCTCCCAGGCGACTCGGGCTCGGTAGCCCACCGGGGAGTTTCCGGAAGCTCCTGAAGCAGGCGAGGGGCGGGGCGGGCGAAGGCCATTCGGCTGTTCCTCTGGCTCCAGAATCTCCTAACGCGCAGGTGTCCAACGTGACCAGCGCGACTCACCGCTCTAATCTCTCTGGTTTTCCAAGGGCTTGTTCAGTCGTCCTGCCGGGCAGGCCCTGAGAACGGACGGAAAGGAGTAAGTTTAATGAGTGGCCCTTCCTGCATCGCCCTGTAAAGCCGGCAGCGGTTGTCTCTGTGGCGCAATCGGTTAGCGCGTTCGGCTGTTAACCGAAAGGTTGGTGGTTCGAGCCCACCCAGGGACGATTCTTGGAGCTTTTAAAGCATTCACGCATTGTCAATCACTAGACAAATGGACAGGATTTTATCTTCCGGAGTCCCAAGACACTCATTTTTGACTGATCCATGTCAAGGCCCAGCCCACCTCCCCGACCAGATTCTTAACCGGGTATATCCTGAAACAGAGACCAAGGAACCCACTTCTGGTGTGATAAAATTCTAATTCAGTCTGTTATACGCTTAAACGAGTAATTTACATGCCTCCATTTTTTCATATTTTAGTAGTAGGAGTCCAGTATTACCTCCAGGACGTGCCTGGATTTCCTGATTGCTCTATCAATAATGTGACCAGCGGAATGATTCATCATGATAGGGATCCTCTTCATCATTTTTGAAAACAGTATTTTTCCTCAGTTTGTGCAGGATTTATTTAACCCTTTTCAAAATGTTTTTGATAGCCAGGCATGGTGGCACACACCTGTAATCCCAGCTACTTGGGAGGCTGAGGCAGGAGAATTGTTTGAACTTGGGAGGTGGAGGCTGCAGTGAGCTGAGATCGCACCACTACACTCCAGCCTGGAGCGGACTCCAGAGCGAGATTCCATCTAAAAAAAAAAAGAAAAATTGTTTTTGAGATGAAGTTGGTTTCACGGTTTTAGGATTACAAAGAACGCTGCAGTCACCATTCTTGTACACATATCTTTTGTCATTGTGGAAATGTCTACACCACAGATCTTTCTATAGTGTAGAGAGCTGGGTGCGCCATTGCTACATTATAGTGCTTATATAATGCTTCTAATTTGAGTCCATTCTGCAAATGTATCTTTCAGGAGAGCAGCACCAAATCATATCCCAATATGAATATTTGTAAGAGGAACAATGTGCAGATGTGCAGTTGAGCTTCGTGCCTCTCCATGGGGCCCGTGTTCATAAAATGGTGGCATTAGCAATCATCTGAGAGTGGAGTTTGTGGCTCTCTGACGTCAAAAGCTGAAGCAGAGGACATGAAAACCCTCACTGCACATCCTCTGTAGTCTAGCCGGAATCATTCCTAGGTCGACAGTCTCTTAGGAGGGAATGCTGCTTGCTTGTTTTGTCAAAACCACGAAAGGGAGGGAAAGCATCAGGCTGTTGGTTGATAACAGTAGTGAAGCAAGTCTTTTCAAAGGCTTGGTTTGTTTACCCTTAGGAAAAAATCCTAATTCTTACCAGATGGTGCCATGCATTTCCAGGTTCTTGGTGTACCAAAGAAAGAACTGTGCGTGACACACACAAAGCAGCAAAGCAAAGCAAAAGTTTATTAAGCACAGTAACACTCTCAGAGTAGGGAGAGTGGGCTGGCCTCTGGGAGATGAGATCTGTATGAGTTTGGTGTACTCTGGGTCTTTTTATGTGTGGTGGTTTTTCTTCTCTTCACAGGGATGCCCAATCGTTAGCCAGTGTTTGTCTTTTGATTGATAGGTGGGTTGCTTAGTTACTTTGCCCCTTGTGTGCTTGCACGTTGCCTCCATCCCATACTTTTAAGTACACGCATGATATGCAATCCATATGCATGAGTTGTAATGAGCTGATTATCATATGGAGTCATGTTAAGGATACTTTTTTTCTCAATGCCTAACTCTCAGGAGCTGCCCTTTTACTGGTTTGGAACTTGCTGGCCATGGGGTCCTTGCTTGCTGTTTTTTTGTTTGTTTGTTTGTTTGCTTTTTGAGACAGAGTCTTGCCCTGTTGTCCAGTCTGGAGTGCAGTGGCGCAACCTCAGCTCACTGCAACCTCTGCCTCCTGGGTTCAAGCGATGCTCCTTGAACCCCAAGTAGCTGGGAGTACAGGAGTACTCCACCATGCCCAGCTAATTTTTTGTATTTTTGGTAGAGACGGGGTTTTGCCATGTTTTCCAGGCTGGTCTCAAACTCCTGACCTCAGGTGATCTGCCCGCCTTGGCCTCTCAAAGTGCTGGGATTACAGGTGTGAGCCACCGAGCCTGGGCTTGCTTGCTTTCTTTAATCTTGCTTTTTGTTTTGGCTGCTCAACTTCTGCCTTTTATCTTGCTTCTTGCTCTCCCACCCCATCACCTTGCTTCTGTTTCTGCTTTTACTCATTCTGCCTTTTATACAACTTCCAATTCCCTCTGCTGTTCTCCTGCCTCATAATGGCAGTTAGTGAGGGAGGGGTTTTTAGGGGGCATGTGCGACCTCCTAGCCTGCCACAGGCAGAAATAGCTTTCAAGGTTTCTCTGCGGTACTGTCAGCCAAGAGAGAGTCCGTTCAGTTGGTTGTAGGGCCTAGGGCTTATTTGTGTTTCTCAATCCTGACAAGGTAAGGCCAGATTAATGCAGATTCTCTGCAGGTGTAAATTTCCCCTACAAAAGACAGTTTTGCAGCCAAGTCGGTGGTTCATGTAGTTGTGGAATTTCACCTGAGGAACCGGTTTGTTGTTGAAGTTGGTGATTATTTATTTCAATCTTATTCATATTTGACCTCAGTCAGCGTACCTGTTTTCTTTTAAAAATTTTCCCACACCCTCCTGACTGCCTTCAGACTCTGCCAAACACAAAATCCACAATGTGACTCCTGCCTGCTTCAGAATAAATGGCCTTTGCTTTTTTATTTGGTTGATCACTTGTTTATTTGCAGAAGCTTCAATTGTAGAGTTGACAAGGACTCATCTTTCACCACATCAGTATTTTCTCGACCCTTTTCTCTGTTAGTTCTTGGCACCAAATTCAGTTTCTAGAAAGAATACTGTTGATCTGGTTAGCAAGTCACTCCAACTTACTTTTGATAGCTAATCAAATTCCTCAGTAATTTTTCCATCCACTGACTTTCTTATCTTGCCAATTGGGTATAATCTTCAACTCCTCCTGCTGTATTTGAGTTAGCTCAGTTCTCTGTTTGCCTCTCTTGCCTATTGTAGCACATACAATACGTCTGTCTCATGTTTTAACAAGGTATCCAGTGCAGTCCCTCAAAAACTACCTTTGCAAAATTATGACAATAAGAGAAAGCTGGCTGGCTGGTCCATCTTGGTTCGCCTCACAGGCTAGCTGGCTTCTTACTCCACGTCCAATTTCTCCCAAGCTGTCTTTGGGAAAATTGGTTATAGTTAAATCGGGTCCCCATCCCCAGGGCCACAAGACAGCTACTGGTCCGCCTGTTAGGAACCAGCCAAGCAGGAGGTAGAGCTGCAGGCCTTCAAGCATTACCACCTGAGCTCTTGTCAGATCTGCATCAGCATTAGATGCTCATCGGAGCTCGGACCTATTGGGAACTGCGCATGTGAGGGATCAGGTGCGCCTCCTTATGAGACTGTAACTAATGCCTGATGGTCTGAGGGTGGAACAGTTTCATCTGGAAACCATCCACCACCCCTTTCATGGAAAAATTGTCTTCTGTGAAACCAGTCTGGTACAAAAAAGCTGCAGGGGATAGCCAGAAGATTGGTTTAAATGATAACCTTCCCAAAACTAAATTACCCTGTAAAAACTCGCTTGAAAGGCATGAAGTTAGAAGGATGAAGAGGCCTGAATTCTACTAAGATGTATGCCTTATTCAAATAATTACCAGCACATTATTCCAGAGAGGGTAGCAAGATTTGCAGCTTCCCCAATAACTGCTGTGAAGAACATCACTATTGTAGAACTAAGATTGGCCTCTTGAATTGTCTTTTTCAGGCTTTTGCATTTCTGACTACTGGATGGCTGTTTGGCCCGAAAATCAACTGATCCTCAGCCCCCACCCGAAGCTGATTCAATGCAGGAGGGTCATTTTCACCCCACCGTGATTTCATCCCCAACAATCAGCACTGCCCAGTCTAGCCCTCCCCACCAAACTATCTGAAACACCATGACCTCAAGCTGACAAGTTGATTTGGGTAACAACTCTGTCTCCCACGTAACCATTGGCTGGCCTGTGTCAATAAAACTCTTTGTTGCAAAGCATGGTCTCTGAATTGATTTTGTGTGTCTGCTGGGCAGGAGAAGAACCCATCAGGCGGTTACATCTGCCGTGGTGCCAGTTCTTTCCACAAAGGCTGGTCAGATGCCCAGAAAGTATTTCTCCACTGCTGCCTGGACAATGTGTCTCCCTGTCAATCTCCAGGGAGGCGAGTCTGCAGATCAAGTATTTAGTATTCAGCAGTTACTACACTGTCATCTAATCCCACCATTTTTAATGCTTTGCCATGCCTTCCAGTGGCCTACTTGTACCAATCACCCCAATCTTTACTTTATGATCTCCAAGGAGAACACTCCACTTGTTGTTTTGTGATTTGAGCAATGGAATAGAATCTTGATGCTGGTGGGCTCTTGAGAAGTCCCCAGAGCAGAGGAGATCTCGGCCCCAGCTGTAGTGTCCAGGCTCTTGACACCACCTTAGGAATGAAGTCAAGGATGAGTCAGCAAATGGTGAAAGGAGAATTTGTTAAACAAAGTACACTCAAGAAAGGGAGTTTGGGCATGCCGGAGAGAACAATGGGTTCTGGGGTTTCATCTTGATGGGTTTCTTCAACCAAGGAGTGGAATATTCATGAAAATTTCCAGGTAAAGGTGCAGATTTCTCAGAACTGTGGTTCCATCCATTTTTACATCAAATAATGGTCTCAGAACTGTCATGGTACTGGTGGGTATGTGATTTAGTATGTTGTGAGCATATGAGGATAGGTAAAACCTACGTCTAATCCAGCACCACCTTGGGTGCAGTCTTAGCCAGCTTGGTCACAGCTCTGGTTTTCAGCGTCTTATCAGCCCATGGCCTCAAGTCATGTGAATCTACTGCCTAAAATTTGTTATCCTGTGACCACCCTATATTACTCCTGTCTCAAATCTACTTCTAAATATTCAAATGGTCTTTGAATTTAGCATCCCAACTTTGCTAACTTCACAGAGTGTTTCTAAGTAATATGTAGAAAAAGATGATCCAGACATTTGTTATTCATCTCAAATGAGATGTCAATTTGTGTCAGGTGGGGTTGATGCTGGTTTTATCTTTACCGTCCCTCCTCCACTTTCTCTACTATAAATAGAACTAAAATCCTAGAATAGCTAATACAAGCAACAAGAATCAACACCAACAACAGGAAGTGTCAAACATCTCTTCGGGGCAGCATATTTTCTACAATACTGAGTTTGCAGAAACAACAACATCAAAAGCTCTCAAAAAACAAAACAAAACAAAAAACCCTACAACATTCATGAAACTAGACAACTGTCTTTATAACATTCACCAATATAATCAAAACCAGTAAGGAGAGCTGGTTTGCAGTCATCCGACCTGCCTCTTTACTTTCATAAATACGGTTTCTCTCTGCTATTAAACGGCTTCCAATTTCAAACGGGGAACTTCATCACAAGGATAAGGATGTGAAGGGCAGTTTCCTTTGTAATCTAAACGTTCCGCACAGGAGTTTTGCAATTAAAAGCCATTGTTGAAGAGGGTGCCAGGATCATCTGACGCGGAAGTCTCCGCAACACAGGCTAAGTACCTGCTTCTTTGGGA